AACATTAAGTGCAGATAATTCAACAGAAAAAGGATACTCTGGTCAGCAAATGGTGGAACAAATTACACATCCATATATAGGGGGAAAACATGAACCTCACTTCATATATCACATATTAAAATTTAACTCAACAGAGTGCCTGGGTGGCTCAGTTGACTGTCTGACTTCAGCTCACGTCATAATCTCAGGGTCCTGGGATCGAGCCCCAAGAGCCTCGGAGTCAGCTTGTCCCTCTGTCCTTCCCCCTTGCCCATGCACTCACTTTTATCACCATCACTGGATCTACTGTTCAATCTATTTTCTAAACTATTCACATTTACCACCTGTCACTTCCCTTCAAAATTCTTTGTGGTAGCTCCTTGGAGAAACAGTTGACTCTAGGGCTGGGAAAGGCAAAATACAAGGTAAGCCTTAAATGCCTGATAAAGAAAATGCTTAAAAAGAACAAAACAAAAATGGGGGACCATTAAAAGGACACAAGGGCCAAAACTGGAACTGTGTGAGCAATAAGTAAAAAAGCAAAGTAAGTTAGGTAATACTGGATTACAACCCAAAGAATAAAATATCCACGACTCCATATATAGATGAGGCAGCACTGCGCAAGCTCAGAAAATCCACAAACATAGGGTATACTCGAGGCACAGCCTAAAAAAGCCTGAAAAGTTCAGTCACACTCATACCTTCCAAATTCTGAATCTTTCGAACTTTTCTGAATAAGGAAACAGCTAGCAAATAACGGTCTACAGTCCCCTACAAGATACACAAAACTTTACAAAATAATTTAGACAACTGTTTGGGTTTCAGAGCTTCAGTTCTCCTTTTGAACAAAAACACCAGAACATAAAAGAGCTATACAAATACACAATGATGCCGTTACACAGCCACCTAAATTAACAGCCACCAAGGATGACATCCCTACAAAGTAGAAGTCTGTCCCATCTGGGAAGCCCCCTTCTCTGAACCATCTCTAACATTTACTTTAAAGATTTTATTTATTTGGGTGCCTGGGTGGCTCAGCTGGTTAAGCGACTGCCTTCGGCTCAGGTCATGACCCTGGAGTCCCGGGATCGAGTCCCGCATCGGGTTCCCTGCTCGGCGAGGAGCCTGCTTCTCCCTCTGACCCTCCCCCCCTCATGTACTCTCTCTCTCTCTCCTTCTCACTCTCTCAAAATAAATAAATAAATCTTTAATCAAAAAAAAGATTTTATTTATTTGACAGAGAGAGACACAGCGAGAGAGGGAACACAAGCAGGGGGAGTGGGAGAGGGAGAAGCAGGCTTCCCGCTGAGCAGGTAGCCTGATGCGGGACTCGATCCCAGGACCCCGGGATCATGACCTGAGCCGAACGCAGACGCTTAACGACTGAGCCACCCAGGCGCCCCTAAAATTTACTTCAATAATTATTAAATACCTGGGGCACCTGGGTGGCTCAGTTAAGCGGCTGACTCTCCGGTTTTGGCTCAGGTCCTGATCTCAGGATTGTGAGATCAAGCCTAAGTGTGGCTCCACTCACTGTGGAGTCTCCTTGTGACTCTCTCTCCCTCTGCCCCTCCCCCCACCCACTCCACCCCCCAGCTCGCTCACACTCTCTAATAAATAAATCTCTAAAAAACAATTATTAAATAACTGAAATACAAGCTGAACAGCTAACAATATTACATGATTGACTGCCAGAGAACAAAAGCAGAAATCTATCAAAGTCATCTAAAGACATTTATTAAGGCCACAACCTGTGAAATTTTTTGAATTATTTTGTTTTATAAAGTCCCCTCTTCATGTGCAGATTATTCCTAGCTCTTTACCATTAACACCTGGCTTGCAATTCAGCTTTCCCCACCAAGGCCAAACAGGGTGTCCAAGAATACTTAAAAAAAAAAAAAAAGGAAAAAGCTGATTTTTGAGATTTAAAAACATATAAACCTAATTAACACCAGTGCGATCACCAACTACAAGTGAGATTACAATTGCTGAGTCTAAATTTAACTCCATTGCTGGAAGGACAGTGTTGCAACTAAAGGTTTTTCCCACTAGCTGTTGGGGGGGGGGAGGCCACGCAGCAGGCACTTTTTCAACCCACCTACTCCAACAATTCTCTCCCTTTGCAAATGAACATATAATGCATATCTGAATTCTAAAATATCATTTAAAAAAATCTAATTACAAAATGTTGAAAGATCAAAGAGCTAATTTTATTAAACTGGCAAAAAAATTGGTTTGTCACAAATTCAGGCTTTGTATTAAATTTCATCTTTTAACACTGCCCCATCCATCCTAAGAACCATACACACCTATAAAAACTTTAACCTTTACCTTTTACTTTCAAGGCAAAGTACTAAAATAGTGAAAATTACAAGAAAAAAGAACCACTACGAAATAGGTCAGCAAGAAACATTACCAACTCTTCTGATGCACCCTTAGCGGACTGTCAGTTGAGAACAGCAAAGAACAAAGAACTGCCTACTTTTCTATCGGTTAGAAGTACAAAAACTTAGAAAGGATTTAACAATAACAAAAGTAATCTGACTTGGCTGGGCAGAAGGAAGGCACACCACTCTTATATTATTACGATCTGCTTCATTTGTTCTTAATAAATGCATGCACAAGAGATACGCCAGGCTACCAATTGTAAAATACCAGTTTTCATATTCCTACCCAACTGATAACCATTCGCCTGAGGGAAAGAACAGGCTAAGAAATATCTGAAAGGGAATCAAAATTCTCAATTAATGCAAAACGAAATTTCATTGATATATTTTACTCCGAGGAATAACACCATTAGGTGGACGGACTCCCAAGTTAACAGTTTAAACGCTGTCACTATGTTTTAAAATTTTAAACCTAAAATGCTAATTCAGTAAGGTAATGCCATCTAAATAAACTAGAATTGCTACATGAAGGTACGTTCTAAGTAAAACAATGTTATATTCTAAAGCCATCTGTTATTTATGGCAACACCAACTAAAGAACGTGGGCCACACAATATTTTGATCCTTTATCTACTGCTACTTTCTGTTAAAAAACATGGCAAGTACTGGGTAAATGGAAACACTTACAAATATTAAGCTTCCTTGTAGTTTTTTAATTTACTTGGCAAGGATGGAAATTTTGTACTCCCTCTGACGGCCAAAACTTCTTAAAAGACTAATCCTAAAGGCTCTAATAAAAGGTTGAAAGCCATTCCAAGCAAAATTCAGAAGAGTTAGTGCCAAAACTTCTAGTTTTATCTCAAGTAGAGACATTTGTAATGTCAAGTAATGGTCTGGACCTGCAACGATTTTCTAAAGCCAGGGAGCATACAGGTTTTTAAAAATCGCAAATACACGCTCGTCTTTGAAGGTATCTTCCACACTGGCATATACATAGGAGCCTAACAGTAAACGCGAAATAAGTGAACTGAATGTAGAAAGGCTTTCATCCACAGAAGATTCCCAGCTGCCCTAAGGGCAAGATTTCCAACGCACCTCAATCACCCGTTGTTCACCTAGCATAAGCTCCAGAGATTAAATTTATATTGTAATTGGGCACCATCCTTTCCATTCTAACTTCACATTTCAACCCACACATGCAGGAGAGATCTGAAACTCATCGCGCTGACCCGCATTTTCTCCAACTACAAAACGAGGAAATGAAGCTATCTTCCCGAAGGTCTTTCTCAAAAGTCTGCCCCGGTAAAGAAAAGACGAAAAAAGGTTTCAGGGTCTAAGAGCAGAGCCTAACTCGCGGCTGCCGGGAATTTCCCACCATCGCGCTCCGAGTATTAAATCGGAGGAACACCGTCCACGTTCATTTGCACTTATTCGTCTTTTCTCTACTTTTTCCGAAAGCTCTGAAGGCGGCACATCCATCAGCTTTCCGTGCGAACACTCGTAGAAAGGAAGCCCAAAGCCCTTGGTGTCCTTTGTCACAATCCCACTTCCAAGCCGCCTCTCCCTGGAAGCCGACAAGTGGCTCAAGCACAAATACCGCCGCACTCCGCCCAGCAGCTGGCCTCTCCGGGATAAGGCTGCCCCCGGGGACCCGTGCTCCGGGGGCCACGGCGCCCTGGAGCCGCGCAGGGAGCTGCCACAAGGACGGAAACAGGCTGGGGGCCTAGCAGTCACACGGCCTGGGTTCCACCCGATACCTGTCCCTTACCGTCGTTGTGCCTGTGAGCACATCTCTGCACCTCTGGGCGTCCGAATCCACTGCAAAAAGGAAAATCGCCGTACCTACCTCACCGGACCGTTGTGGGAGTACAGGAGAGCCACACAAGTTGCTCAGCACAGTGCCTGGCACAGAGCGAGGGCTCAGAAAAAACAGTAATTATTACTTCCACTCATTACCGGTGCCTTCCTGCTCCCCTTTTACTCCCTGTAAATCCCGGGGGCAGCACTTCTGCTTCCCGAACCAAAATCCTCCTCGCGTTTTCGTGTCGCCCCCGCCGCTAAATAAGAAGCCTCCTCCGGTCCGGGCCAACTGGTGCCCCTCGCCCGGGTAGGAAAGGCTCTGCGGGCGCGCCGGGGGGAGGGAGACGGGCGGGAAAGGCCGGCGAGCGGGCCGCGCGGGGCCCCGGGTTCCCGTGATCGCCCTGGGGCCCGGGCGGCGGCCGCAGCTCGCTCTCGCCCCGCGCGGCCGTTGGGCGTGGCACGCGCACGCGGCGGACGCGGACACGGCCACGCGCGCCGGCCGGTGGGAGCGCGGCGAGGAGGGGGCGGGGAAACTCCGCGCGCCCTTGCGCCCGCCTGCGGCCGTTGGGGGGGGGGTGCACGCCTCGCGCGGCGCCCACTGCCGCCGCCGCCGCTGCGACTTCTCTCTCTCACAAGCGTCCCAGCTCGTCTTCGTCCCTGGGCCGCCCCGCCCGCCCACACCCCGGCGTACCTGCGCGGCTGAGCGGGAGAGGAACAAGCTTTGCTCCACAGTACAGCAGAAGGCAAAATCCCCTCACGCAACTGCGTCCGCACACACGCGTGCTCCGTCGCCGGTCTATATAACCGCGACTCAGCCTAACTTGTTGCGGCCAGGTCGAGCAGGCTGGTGACCAATCCCGCCTGCGTCCTCTGGGCTCTTCGAGCAGCAATTGGGTACTGACTCAGGATAAAGGCGTGGCTCTTGATTGGCTTTGACTCATGCCTATGAGACTGTGAGGATCTCGTTTCCCTAGTAACGGATTGGCACTGAGAGAGACCAATGACTTAAAGGTACGTCGGAAAACAGGGTGGGAACTTCTTTGACCGATACCCATAGTAGCCAATAAATGCGTGGGTCCGTTCCCATTCGTTAAAATGTGTTCCCTTGGGCGGAGATCCGTTTTCCATACAGGAGCGGTTGCTCCACAAGGTGGGGCCCGTGTACTTTGGGGAAGTAAACCCCAAGCAACTAGGAGGTGGGCACCAGGGAGGCCAAGGGAGCCCCTAGCCAATCGCAAAGCGAGAAAGATCTGATTGACGCGGGGGTTGGACTGAGCCAAGGAGACCGAGCCCCAGGGCCGCCGTGCCCTCCGGGGAGGTTCAGAAGCTCTTCTGTCCCTTGCATCCGTCCTCTTTACTTTCTTTCCCTCACTTGTTGGGTCTAGCCCCTGAGGCCCCTCTCCCGCCTTTTCTGCACTGTTTAGTGCCAGGGAAACCAAGTGGGAAAGTTCCCGTTGTTTGGTTTTTTTTTTTCTTCTTACAGCAACTTTTTTATTTCCAGGCGGCCGCCTAAGGGCACTTGCAGGCTCTCACCATTAGTCAGCACTATTGTCGGACAACAGTTTAAGAGAAAGCGAGAGGGGAAAGTAGCGCCCGTCGTGTACCTAAGATCGTGTAAAAAGGCCGCACGTGAAAAGTGCTGTTGAGTTTGAGAACACAAATTTCTACCCTGCTGTTCGTGGCAAGTGCTGCAGCGGGCTGGCCGGATGCCCGGTTAGTGGGAGCTCGCTGAGGTCTTCCCCTTCTGTTGCTGCCAAGGAACCAAGTCTGTAAAGTCTCCGCTCTGTTTGGTCCTTAATGCAACATCCTGTGCGTCACCACCATTGCCATTTAGTGTTCCAATAGCTGGGAGTGCGGGGGCTGCTTTCGCGTCGTTATGTCTTTTTCTCTTTTTAATTTTTATTTATTTGACAGAGAGACAGCGAGAGGGAACACAAGCAGGGGGAGTGGGAGAGGGAGAAGCAGGCTTCCTGCAGAGCAGGGAGCCCCATGCGGGGCTCGATCCGAGGACCCCGGGATCATGACCCCAGCCGAAGGCAGACGCTTAACAACTGAGCCACCCAGGCGCCCCGGATCGTTACGTCTTTAAAAGGTAATTTGTCACACTCCTACACGGACACCCCAGAGGTTTCCCGAAGCACTTCAGAGGCTAGGTGGCGCACCAGCCGGGTCCTGTCTACGTCTCTAGGTGTTTTATTGGGCCCTCTGTTGGTCACCATGAGCATTTTGTAAGGAAATACACAGATACCTCGGTCGGTTCTCGTTCCAGGCATGTGATCTCCCGTTAAGTTTTGCAGAGAATTTGGGAATGAAGCACCTGGAGCGTCTCTTGGGGAGAAGGGGCGCCGGCAGCAGCCTGTTGGGACCTGGGTGCTTCCCCTCTCATTCCCTGCGCGGGGACTGGCCCGAGACGAGACTCGCGGCCGCCCCCAGGAGCCTAGTGAGAGCGTCCCTCTGGCCCCCCAGGTCCCACTGCCCCATCGGCCCAGCTCATTCAACATTTATGAAACTCCTGTTAAGGGCTGGGATCAGAGATGATCTGGATGACGGGAGCCCCGCAAAGGCAGGCGTCTGGGACTAAAAAGGCATCGGATGGAACTCAACCTAGAGGAGAGAATCCGCTAAAGTTTTCTAGAGTAAGGACACCCATCCCCACCCACCCCCACCCCCACCCCCAGGATCGGGTCAGCTTTGCTAAGGCCTTTGGAGTTTATTCTGACGGCAGAGAAGAGCCCCTGGAAGGGTTCTTAAAGGGTAGACTCAGAGACTTCCTTTTACAAGACTCTCCAAATTGAAACGCTAATGAAGCAGATTTGCAAAACTTTAAAAATTTACAGATTGGTAATTTAACCCAAATGGCTTATGATGAGAGTCAGGGCTATTCTTAATCACATTTGGGGCGAATTTTAAGTGATAACTGCTCTTTTTGTGGGGCTATTTGGCAATCACTATTAATATTGTGTGTATCACCCAAATCAATGAAGGTACCTCGGTATATGCCACACCTTTTTTTTTTAAACAAAGAAGCGTATACTGTCACGTGCAACTGCAGCATTGTCAGCTTAGTTAGAATACTTAAAAAGTGGGGCACCTGGGTGGCTCAGATGGTTAAGCGTCTGCCCTCAGCCCAGGTCCTGATCTCCAGGTCCTGGGATGGAGCCCCGTGTCAGGCTCCCAGCTCAGCGGGGAGTCTGCTTCTCCTTCTCCCTCCTCCTCTCCCCCTGCTTGTGCTCTGTTTCTCTCTCAAATGAATAAATAAAATCTTTAAAAAAAAAAGAATACTTAAAAACTGAAAATGTAATTGCTCATCAATTGGCAAACTGATTAACCAGTGATGTGCATATAATATGGAATATCATGCAGTTTAAAAAAGAATGAGGTAGGGGCGCCTGGGTAGCTCATTAAGCGTCTGCCTTCGGCTCAGGTGGTGATCCCAGGGTCCTGGGATCCACGGGAAGCCTGCTTCTCCCTCTCCCACTCCCCCTGCTTATATTCCCTCTCTCGCTGTGTCTGTCAAATAAATAAATGAAATCTTCTAAAAAAAAATAAAAAATGAGGTAGAATTATACAGATATGGACGGGTTTCTGTTTGTTATTTGGATTAATTGAAAAATATCAGGTTCAACAAAATATACAGTGAATTCCCATTTAGGTTAAAAAAGCAAAAAACTGGGCGCCTGGGTGGCTCAGTTGGTTAAGCGACTGCCTTCGGCTCAGGTCATGATCCTGGAGTCCCGGTATCGAGTCCCGCATCGGGCTCCCTGCTCAGCGGGGAGTCTGCTTCTCCCTCTGACCCTACCCCCTCTTGGACTCTCTCTCTCTCACTCTCTCTCTCTCTCAAATAAATAAATAAAATCTTTAAAAAATAAATAAATAAATAAAAATATCTTTCTCTGAGATTCCTAATAAATATTTATTATAGAAAATATGGCAAAGAGAAGTAGAAAAACAGAAATAAAAATCACCTATAATATTGGAATGGGTCAGGGTAGTACACGTAGATCTGAAGATATGAAAACATAGTTAATAAATCTTTGAGAGGCAATCTGACTCTATCAAAATTGAAAATGAATAGCAATGCCACAGTAGGAATTTATTCTACTTAAACTTTTAAGCAAAGATCTATGTATATGGACTGTCATTACATCATCATTTTTAGCATTAAAAGACTGGAAGCCACATGTATGTCTATAAGTGGGGGACTGTATCAAGAATGTGTCAGGAGCAAGTACCAGGAAGTCTGAGTAGCAGTCGCTGAAATTAAGAGGGGCTCACATTTCTCACCTAACCAGTCTGCAGACAGGCTGCAGCTGAACACACGGAACCGGCATCTCCGTGATTCTCTGAGCGTCATGATGATGACTGTACTCTAGATATCATGTCAGTATTCTCGGCAGCAAGGGGAAAGGAGTAGTATCTGTTCCCCTGAAGAAAGCAAGAGCTTTCCAGAAACCTTGTAGCAGACTTCTGCTTCTGACTCATTGGCCAGAGCCACATCATATGGGCACACTTGGCTGCAAGGGAAGATGGGAAAGCAAATATTGAGGGTACTTAGGGATCTGGCTTCTACAGTAGCAAGAGTAAAAAGGCTGGGAATGAGCATTGGATTAGCCAACCAATGGTTTCTGCCATAGGGCCTGGTTAAATAAATTATGGTACAACTGAATAATATAGCATTAGGTATCATTAAAAAGAATGAAGGGGATATGTACAATTAAAGAATAAGCTCTACAATATTTTGTAAAACAAGGAAAGCAAGGTGTGTACCCAGTACACAGTTGTGCCCAGTGCTACCAAAATACCAAAATTTTTAAAATAGTATGTACATTGGGAGCCTGTAATACTGCACCCATCCCAGATAACTTCTATAACACTTGCTGTAGATCATTTCAGGCTTGTTTGTATGTAAATAACTGGAATTTATGCAGATATTTACATACAGGAACTATAATCCTACACATTTTCCTCTCTTCATTTGTCATATCTAATGAGTTTCCATAACGCTGCCTCTCATGAAGTTGTGCTCTCTCTCTGCTTCACCTCCCCTCTTCCCCAATTCTCTACCTTTCCTTTTCCTTTAATGCCCCCCACCCCGTACCCCTCTGCAGTGATCTTACTTTCCCAGTCCCAGTACACAGTTGTGCCCAGTGCTACCAAAATGTTGAGCCTTGCCTTCACTGGACCTAAAGAAATGCCTGGCAGGTGGGAAAGAGGTGTGAAGGGTTAAGGGATGAGCATTTTGCCGGTAGGGGAGGAGCCAGGGCCAAGGAGGCCAGGAGTGATTCCAGCAATTAGAAGAATTCTAATATTTTTTGATGCCCATCCTGTGCCAAATAATGTGCTAGGGATTTTGCATACAGAATCATATATATTCTTCCCAATAATACCACAAAACAGGTGTCTTTAAGGAACCCGTGTGTCCTGGTTTGCCTGTGACAGTCATGGTATTTGCCTACTGTCCTGGCATCCCCTTTCACTCTCAGAAGCCTTGGGTAAAAAATTGTATAGTCACTTAACTATCCCTGTTCCCTAAGTGAGGATATTAAGGCTTAGAGAGGTAAAGTAATCTGCCCAAGGTTATACAGCCGGCAAATGATAGGGCTAAAATCCAAACTCTGGTCTATGTGGCTCTATATGGTGTATATGGACTGAAATGTTGAGGCCCTAACCTCCAATGTGACTGTGTTTGGAGATGGGCCTTTGAGGAGTTGATAAAGGTTAACTGGGGTCTTAAGGGTGGGGCCCTAATCCAATAGGTTTGGTGCCCTTATAAAAGGAGGAAGAGATAACAGAGCTAGCTCTCTCTGCCATGTGAGGACATAGCAGGAATGCAGCCATCTGCAAGCCAGGAAGAGAAATCTCACCAAGAACCGAATCAGCCAGCACTTTGACCTTGACTTTCCCGCCTCCAGAACTGTGAGAACTGTGAGCAATAAATGTTTCAGCCACCCAGGCTGTGATATTTTGTTATAGCAGCCTGAGCAGACTAAGACAGGCTCTCATTTCCATGCTCCTTCTGCTCACCATGCTGGAGGTGGGCCTCCTCATTCAGGGCCAGTCAGTGTGAGTCAGTGACTGGTCCTGGCCTAGATTTATCCCTTCCATTTCCTGTTCCTTGAACCTAGGCCAAGGGTGGATCCATTAGCCTCTTCTCTAAACTGAAGTAGGCAGCTTGTGGTCACTCCCTGTATCAGTGTGGGTCTAATCAGGAGAGAGAAACCACACCATAACTTGAACAAGGAGAGTTTAAAGATTATAATGAGTCTGGGATAATGAGGGATTAGCTAGTAAAAAGTAAAGAGAACTCTAAAGAATATAAAAACAGCAGATACAAGAAGGAGCCACTGCTGGTAGGGCCAAGATAGTAAGAGCATCCAAGGAAGAATCTCCCAACCTCCACGCTAGGCTGGAATCCAGGCCTGCGGGCCCACTGAATGGCAGAGAAGTCGCTATGATGCCATGCTGGTGGATCTTGCTAGAAATCCACCCTCTGGGCTGAAAAATTTCCCTCTCGGGTGCTGGAAAAAGCTATTCACAGAGGCACTTCACCGAAGGCACTCTGCTATGAAAGTACACAAGGGAGAACAGACAATGGAGGAAGCTGCTGGCTGCTAGGTGCTGCCTAGTCCCTGTACACAAGCAGGAGCCTGGTGCTGAGGGAGCCGTCCTCAGAAGATGGGCATGGGGCAACCGCCCACATGGCAAGGGCCTGGCGAGTGAGCACACTGGAACCAGGAAGGAAAATCTTTCCACTTCCAGTGTGTCTCCAGAACCTTTACTGACAAGGTTTAACATCCTGCCAATGGGCAAAGGAAAAAAAAAATAAAGTGTCCAGATCGGGGCACCTGGGTGACTCAGTCAGTTAAGCAGTTAAGTGTCCCCCTTCGGCCCAGGTCATGATCCCAGGGTCCTGGGATTGAGTGCCACATAGGGCTCCCTGCTCAGCGGGGAGTCTGCTTCTCCCTCTTTTCTCTGCAGCTCCCCTTGCTTGTGCTCACGCTCTCTCTGTCAAAATCTTTTTAAAAAAAAAAGGTCCGGGGCGCCTGGGTGGCTCAGTCGTTAAGCGTCTGCCTTCGGCTCAGGTCATGATCCCAGGGTCCTGGGATCAAGTCCCACATCGGGGTCCCTGCTCAGCGGGAAGCCTGCTTCTCCCTCTCCCACTCCCACTCCCCCTGCTTGTGTTCCCGCTCTTGCTGTGTCTCTCTGTCAAATAAATAAATAAAATCTTTTAAAAAAAATTAAAGGGTCCGGATCTATTTTCATAGAGCAAACAAAAGGGATGAATTGGGGCGCCTGGGTGGCTCAGTCGTTAAGCATCTGCCTTCGGCTCAGGTCAAGATCCCAGGGTCCTGGGATGTAGCCCCACATCGCACTGGGCTCCCTGCTTGGCGTGAAGCCTGCTTCTCCCTCTCCCACTCCCCCTGCTGGTGTCCCCTCTCTCGCTGTGTCTCTGTCAAATAAAATCTTAAAAAAAAAAAAAGGATGAATCGGAGGTGAGACAATAAACCAATAATGAGCACACTCTCTCAAAAAGGTTTCATGTATTAAGACTATAGTTTTCCTCAACGAGGGGTTCCCCAAACCAAGCAGAGGAGGGGTACTAAAAGTATACCTTGAGATTAAGGGGCAGTGAATCTAGGATGAAGCCTAGGAATCCGGGTTGTTAATAAGCTGTCCAAGCAGTTCTGTTTGATGAGAGCTCTCTGAAACTACTAACTCAGAGACTGGGCCCCTCTGGCAGGTTCCTTGGATATTCCAAGGAGAGTGAGTGTGCGTCCATCCCCCCCACCCCACTCCCCATGCTCCTGTGTATGTAGAGGTCTGTGTGTGTGTGACTGCAATTCCCAGTCCCGGCAGGCCGGTTTCTCTGTTAGTCCTAGAGCACCTCTGCCTTCATCTGTCCTCACCCATGGCTGCGGATCTCGCAGCCTCGTCGCTTCATTTCTCCACCTCTTTGTGTCTGCCTCTCAAGCCCACTCTTGTCTTCGCACTTTTGTGCTTGCTGTTCCCTCTGCCTCCCTCCTTCCCAAATAGCTCCTCTTCCTTCATCATATGAACGTGTACTCTCCAACGTTGACTCAGATTACCTCCTCCCGAAACCTCCTCATTCGGAACTCCTCTCCCGCCCCCAACACACTCCAGTCTGAGTTAGAGATCCTCTCTCAGCTCCCATGATACAGCCCGTCTAACACTGCGTTTTTACCGCCTGCTCCCTTGGCTCCCGACTGGGCCATATCCTTTTCAGTAGTGCATCTTGGATACGCAGCACTGTGCTTGCTCACGGTTGGAACTCATTTACAGCAGTAAATTGATCGTCCCTTTAGGGAGGGGCAGAGCCTGTCGTCTTCACTGCGGGGCCCTTGCATTCCCAGCCCCTAATACATACCTGACACGGAGCAGGTGGCCGAAAAATGACCAGCAGGCGTTGGAGGCGGGCCCAGCCAGCTGCAGGCGAATGGGGTCTCCGGCCCCGCCCACCGGAAGGAGGCGGGGCTGCCAACGGCGGTCCGGCGGCTCTACGTCCGCGGGGCCAGGGGGCAGGGCCTAACTGCCGGCGGGCCGGGTGGGGGCGGGGCCTGGCGGGAGGGGCGGCTCTTCCCGGCGCCCAACCCCGGAAGCACAGCCGCCCGAGCTCTCCGAGCCGGCAGAAACGTCGCTCCCGCAGCTGCAGCCGCCGCCGCCGCCGCCGCCACCACCAAATCCACAGTCATGCCGGTGAGTGCCTGCTCGCTCCCGCCCCGCGCAGGCCCGGGTCCCCGGCTTGCGCCTCGGCTGCACTGCCGATCGGCCACACGTTACTCTGGACGGGCTCAGGCCGCCGCCGGAGCTTTTGCCTCTCTTCTCACTCCCTCCCTCCCTCCCTCCCCATCTACTTGCAGCTTCTGCGACCCTCTAGAAAATCTGATCCGAAAGGGGTTTTATGTAGGAGTCAGGCCTCAGAACATCGGAGCTGCAAGGCCTCTAGGTGTTACAAGCCCAACCCTTCCCTGCATAGACGGGGAAACTGAGACCCAGGGAGGGGCAGAGTCGCCGAGATCACCCAGGAAGCAGGTGGCGAGCTGGAACTGGGACGTCTAGTCCCTGCGCCTTACCCCTGTTTGCCACTGTCTGCGGAGCTGGCTTGAAAGGGGGAGTGGGGGAGGGGGTGGGGTGGCTATTGCCTCCTGGGCGGGGCAGGTTTTCAGAGATTCGTGGTTTTCTTTCCTACCACCTGCCCACTCGCCCATTTTCATTTGAGCCCTGGGCGACACTGAATGGAGACAACAGTGCTTTTAACCTTTCCTACCGATCACTTTCTGAACCTGAACCCATGAGCCCATGAGAGGTTAAGGGACCTGCTCAAAAATTGCCAGTTGAGGGACGCCTGGGTGGCTCAGTCGGTTAAGCGGCTGCCTTTGGCCTGGGTCAGGATGGGCTCCTTGCTCAGCAGGGAGCCTGCTTCTCCCTCTCTCTCCCTCTGCTTGTGCTCTCTCTGTCAAATAAATAAAATCTTTAAAAAAAATTGCCAGTTGCTCAGAGTTTGGGGAGGAATGAGTAGGTCTTAGGCGCCTTTGCCACTCACTCAGTCTTAATGCACATACCTGGTTGCTCAGGGTCTCATCTTGTAGATAACAAATCAAGGACTTTGGCAGATAAAAAGAGAAAAAGCCCAGTAACTTACTGGAGGCCTCCTTTAGGCATTGGGTGGAGCCAGGATTTAGCCCCTTATCTTCAGGCTCCCAGTCTCTCCTGGCCTGACCACTTGGGAAATAAATGCCAGACAAAAATAGTTATACCGGATTGAGAGTATGCTGTGATCTCAAGTACATCCTGTAGATCCTGGTTGGGGTCATGTGGTATTTAGCAGTTTCCCCCAGGGTGCCTAGTTTATGGCTCTGCTTTAAGTAGATACCCAGAGGTGTCCCACAGATACCCCGTGTCTTATCACCCTAGCTTTGGGGAGCTGGCAGATAAGCCAGAGGCCCCCTGGACCAAGTCACAAACATCTCAAGTGTCATTTCCGTTGGGTCTTGCCAAGTGCCTTGAGACAAATCCTCAGACAGCACAAAGTACGGACAAAGAACCTGATGTTATCAGTGCTCCTACTTGAGCAAATTGCCTATGGCAATAAGACGACAGCATTAATCACCCTGGGACCAGGTTTTTGTAGAGGGTGGCAGTGAAGGAAGGCCAGCTTGAGGATCACTCTATAGTCTGTGTTCACTTCTGGAGATTTTGACAGACAAAAGACCCTCCAGAGCAGATGGTCAGAATGAAGAGGGCACTTGGCACCATATCACAAGATGAGCAGCATGAGAGGTTTCTCAGACAAAAACTTGGAATCTCAGAAGGCTCTTTGAAAAAATCTGTGCCCTTGCTTGTCAGCTGGGTGACCTTGGGCAAGCCGCTTTACCTCTCTGCCTTTATTTCCTCATCTGTAAAATGGGGATAAAATCTAATCTCGGGACTATTGTTAGTAGTACCTGGAAAAATGCCAGTAAAATACATAGCATAGCCAGTCCCCAAGAAATGGTAGCTCTTATGTCAGCCTAGGACAAGTAGGGTAGAACTAGAGGCAGACAAGTGTTAACCCCATTTTAACAAGGACCACAGTGGTTAGGAGTTTAGACTTTGAAGATATTTTCAGGCTGGGCTCTGTTCCTCACTAGCTGTGTCACCCTGAGTGAGTGACCTAACCTCTGAATCTCAGCTCCCTTGTCTGTCAGGAAAGGATAATAATGGCCATCTCATGGGGACCTTGTGATGATTAAACAGGGTAATGTGTGCAAAGTGTTTAGAACAATGCCTGTCATGTAGTCCTCATTCAAATATTAGTATTTGTAAACTCCTAATCGACGTTGTGTTCAAAGACTAAATATCCTGGATATTTGAGAAAGACTTCCTTTCTGGGAGGGCTGGACAAGGTGACTCCACTGCAATTTCTGCCCTTCCAGTTCTGAGATTCTGCTAAAGAATTTTACAGTTTACTGGACTTTTTCATTGCTTTAAAGGACCTTAGAGGTGACAGGCCCATTTGAGGGGCTCAGGCAATAGGGGGCTGGCCTTGGGATTCTCTGTAAAGAATGGATTACTCTGTCCTTTAAGTAGATTTTCTACCACCCCCAAATGGACTTGTGCAAGTCCGAGTAGAGGGAAAGAGCACAGGCTTGTAACATTGGCCACCCAGAAGCCGCCTCCTGGCTTCTGACCTCCGTACTGTGGAGGATGAAAGGGGACCCATGCTCTGTAGGTAGCAGCGGAAAGCTTCACTGTCTGTTGACTTGAGGTTCTTGGGCAGCATACACTTGTTCCTCTTCACCAGCTGTCCCACTCCCAGAGCTCCTGCTGAGAGTCAGGGTAACAGGATGGCACCTGGCAGTGCTGTTGGCAGCTCCTCACTAGCAAAGCGTCCCTGGAGCCAGGAAGGCCTGGGTTCGCATCCCAGCTGCGGCACAGACTCGCCCCATGACTGTGGGCAGCTCCGTGAACCCCTGGGAGCGTCAGTTTCCTCTGGAGTAAAATAGGGTCTCTAGCTCCCTTCCCAAGCCGAGTGAGAACTGAGATTCTGTGTACAGAGCATTTGGCGCACGGGCACTCGGTAGATTTAGGTCTTATGTCGGTCTTGCAGACCCTTTAAGTCTTTGGGTGGGTATCCAGGTGCAAACCATTGACAAATCTGGATTGTCTGTTGGTCATTCTAGAGCAGGAGTCGGCACACTTTTTCTTAAATGGCCAGGTGAATACTTGAAATGCTTTAGGCTTCACGAACCATCTGGTCCCTTAACAACTCAACTCTGCCATTCCAGTGTGAAAGTAAGCCAACGGGCTTAGCAGTGTTCCAGTAAAACTTTATAAAACCAGCTCAGAGTCTGGCTGTAGTTTGCCAGTTCACATTCTAGAACAGCATCTCAAACTGTAATGTGGGCAGGAATAAACTGGGTGTCTTGGAGTTGTTTTTTGTTTGTTTGTTTGTTTGTTTTAGTTTTTATTTTTAAGCAATCGCTCCACCCAACCTGGGGCTCGAACTCAAGACCCCAAGATAAAGAGTTGCATGCTTCCCGGACTGAGCCAGCCAGGGTTTCTTGTTAAAATGAGGATTCTGATTCAGGAGGCCTAGGGTGGGGCCTAAGATTTTGCATTTTGCAAGCTCCCGGGTCACGCTGATACTATTGGTCTGAGGACCACACCTTAAAGACAAGATTTTGGAATACTTGCTACAAATCCTGTTTTCCAGAATTTGTTGTGGTTGTTGTTAAGTAGTCATACAAGCTAAAGGAATCAGAGGTGTTTAACTAGAAGAAAAGAAAAACTGTTTTCTTTAAGGCAGGTTTTGCAGATTTGGCCTCAGTAAAATAGTGGAAAGCCAAACTCTTAACTCTTGGTCTTAGTTTCCCCTGGATGGAATGATGATTGAAGCCAAACCCAAACATATTATGAGACTTGGAAAGAGCTTGAGAAGCCATTAGTCCGGTTTTTCTAGGTGTGTAGCCTGCCTCCCTGTGACTCCCCAGTGGGTTAAAAATGGAGAGAGTCCCAGGGCCCAGCCCAGAGCCTCAGAGCGATAGAGGCAACTGCTTGCAGAATTGCATGTCCTCAAGTCCTCGAGTGATTCTTCTGTGCACTGAGGTTGAGAAAACTTGAGTTGGCTAATACCTTTTTGGTAAGATAAGGTGACTGTGGTCCTTAAGGCGCAGGAATTTTTTTTTTTTTTAAAGGCACAGGGATTTTTGCCTGAGGTCTTCCAGCGAGAAACACTGATATGTCCAGAATTCCAACTGAGGTAGCAAATTTGAAATATTTTGGAATGCTTGGGCGCCTGGGTGGCCCAGTCAGTTAAGCGTCTGCCTGCCCCTGCTCAGCGGGGAATCTGCTTCTCCTTCTCCCTCTGCCCCTGCACCCACTCAGCTCACGAACTCTCTCCCTCTTTCTCTCTCTCAAATAAATAAATAAAATCTTTAAAAAAAAGTACTTTGGAATGCTCCATAAACATGTAGTCATTGTTTTTTTGAAGTGAAGGAAAAGAGAGCTGTGGAAAAAACTAATAATAACACAGCAGCTAATTTTTCACCCAGTGGAGACTACTAGGCGCCAACCTCTTAATGTTTTAGTTACCTTTTGCTCCTGAGGAACGACCCCAAACCTCGGTGGTTGAAAAGGGTAAACGTTTATTAATTCTTAGTTTGTGAGAGTCGGGAATCTGGAGGTAGCTCTGGGGGTGTCCCAGGCACGGGGTCTCTGATAAAGATGCATGAAGATGTCGGCCGGGCTGTAGTCATCTGAAGGAGCGTCTGCTTCCACAATGGCTCCCTCACATAGCTGTTGGCTGGACACTCAGTTGCTCGCCATGAGCACCTCTCCATAGGGTTGCTTGAGGGTCTTTAAGACGTCTCAGCCAGCTTCCTCCAGAGAGAGAGCAAGGAGAAGCCCCAGTGTCTTTCGTGACCTGGCCTCAGAAGTCACATAACATCACTTCAGCCATATTCTGCCAGACACAGACCAACCCTGAGACATTGCGGAAGGGGACTTCTCAAGGGCATAAATACTCAGGAGGTGGAGGTCACTGGGGCCAACTTGCAGGCTGGCTCCCACTCTTAAAGTGATTGTCCCATTCACTAACCTGGAAAAGGGACTCTCATACCCAATTTTCAGATGTAGAAACCAGGGCAAGAAGAGTTAAATAACTTACTCGTGGTGGTACAGCTTGTAAGTGTCAGAGCTGGGAACTGAGGCCGGGCTTATTTCCAGAGATTTTAAAATAGAAGATGTATTGGTATAGTAGATTTTGTCTGAAAGCAAAGGAAGGACCCAGAGGTCCTCAACCAGCTGTGTCAATCATCTGCTCACTCAACAAAATGTAGTAGGCACCTACTGTGTGCCAGGTGCTGTTCAAGGATCAGGTCGCAGCAGTGAACTGAACAAAGCTTGCCTTCAGGCCCTTGGAGACTATAGGATGTTGAGCCCATATGAAGAGTCGAGGAGTCTGGGTGCCCTTACTGGTCCAGCCTTCAACCCACTGGGAGTCCAGGCAAATCCCTTCCCAGGACTCAGGTGCTGCCTCGAACCGTGAGGCACGTGAGTGAGCACAGTGATCTCCATGTATCAGAATACCAGAGATGCTTATTAGCCACGATAGACGCCCCAGCCCACACTTGTTGATCAGAATAGTTTTTGCAAGTTCTTGGGTGATTCTAATGCAGACGATGATGTGATGTATAAATAAGACCACCAGATCAGCATTGCTCAGAGGCCATGGGCCCACCTATGTCAGAGTTGTCGATGGTCTCAAGAACCAAGATTTTGAAGGTAAGACTTTAAACTAGCTTCCCAGATGATTCTACTCATCGTGTGCTAGACACTGCTGAAGGATTTGTAGGGATTATCTCATTCAGTACAGCAGCCTGTGAGATGGAGGAACCCTTTCTTAATTCCACTTTACAGTCTAATAGAGTGGGGCTCAGAAACCGGCTGCTGGTGCGTCTGATGACAGCCAGCCTGGCCCTGTCTCTCTGCGCTCTGTCTTGGCCCCTGGGTGGGCCTGCATGCTGGTGGGGGGTGTGGGTCGTGCCGCAGGACTGGCTTACGGTCCCCTTTGTTTTAGAAGCACGAGTTCTCCGTGGACATGACCTGTGAAGGCTGCTCAAATGCCGTCAGCCGGGTGCTGAACAAACTGGGAGGTGAGTGAGCGGCCCGCGGGTAGGGGTGAGGTGGGGGAGGCCGGTGCCCTTAAATTGCGTTCAAATGCATGCAGCCACGGAGCTGGAGAGGCTTGAGTTGAAGCCGATAATAAAAGAACGACTAAAATGTATTGAGTACTTACTTAGCATGTGCCCAGTACTCTGCTTGGTGGCTTTGTGCGGACCGAATCATCTGTTCCTCACCAGAGCCATTTAGGTGGCTCCTTAGACTGTCGCCATTATAAGCAGGAGGAACTGAAGTTCAGAGGAGTTGAGTGACTTTGCTGAGATCTCACAGTAAAAGTGGCGGAGCTGGGATTTGGCCACATCGTCCAGCTCATGGCCCTGGCAGCACTAGTTGACATGTTGGTGATCTTCGGTGTGATCATTTTGCAGACGATACATTGGAGTGTCATTTTCTATTAACGTTTACAAAATTGTAGTATTTTTTAAAAATGAACTTTGACTCAAGTCACATGCAGAAGTCCTAAAGCCCTTCTTCTGGACATATGTAGAAAACCGTTATTCTCATCCAGCCCCTTTGGTTCTCAGCTGGGGAAACTGAGGCCCAAAGAGGGCTGGGGTCTGGCCCTGGGGGTCCATGAGGTAATGACTGAGCTGTGGTCAGCGTTCTGGTAGTGCTGGGCAGTCCGTCTTCTAAGATTTTCACGTTTAAAACCCAAATAATACCCAGATTTCGAAGGGCTTCCACGTGGATGTGATCCCGTTAGCACTTGGAGCATTCCTCTGAGTTGGCCTTTCCGTCTGTGGAATGGGGATGTTGACACCAGAGCCCGGGAGGGGAACACACTTGCCCAAAGTGAGTCAATGGCTGGTTTCTAGTCCTGGAAACTGGAATCTTAATTTGAAAGAGTCTGAGGCAGGAGGAAAAACCTGGTTGCTGACTTGCCGTGTGACTAGGGCCACCCTAGCTGTGTGTGGACGTGTCAGCCTCTGTCAGCTTCTGCTGTGGATCCTGAAAGAGTGAAACTCTGCTTGAAAGCCCCTCCAGTGTGACGTGGCACGTTCCAGATGAAGTGAAGGGTGAGGGTGGGCCTGCTTTCACTCTTGACGGCTTGAGGACACCTGGCCAGGAATCTGGGCTGCAAGGAGCACAGTTTGAAACCCACTGGGTTAGATGATCCCAGAGTTTCTTCCAGCTCTATGATGCTACCAAAATATTTGTTCCAAAGAGGAGGGAGACACTTCTGAACCAAAACACAAAAATCCAGTGTGGAGCAAGGACACGTTACATTTTTTTCTCCCTCAGTATCCTTAGGTATAAATTGCAGACATTATGACTAAATCCTGTGCCCTGGACTTTTTTAAGACTGTTTGATGTTTGGGGATCTCCCTTTGAACTTGGATGGGTTTCTCCCCATCTTTGACTACTGTCCCCACTTGGGTGGCCTCTTGAAGTCAGAAGGATTAGTTGGAGCCTTAGATGAGCAGTGCTGGCCTGAGGAATCACAGCTAATGGCATATGTGAATCGGAGAGACCATAAGGGCTGGCCACCCTGAATTCCTTCATGTACAGATGGGGAAACAGGCCTAGAAGGGGCAGGACCCACCTGTAGTCATCCAACAAGTCAGTGGTGAAGTCAGGCCTAGAACCTATCAAGGGCTTTCCCTCTGCATTCCATTTTCTCAACAAGATACATTCTAGGTATTCCCATGGACTGTTCTTAGGGGAAGGGAGGGTGGCTTGAAATTGACAAAGCCCTTTAGGAGGGTGGTTTTACAATATCAACATTTAAAATGTGCCAGTCTGTTGCTCCCCCGTTTCCATTCCATAAATTCATGGTACAGAAATATTTTCACAAGTTTTATATGTTCAAGTATGTTCACTGTAGCATTGCAGCAGGGGACTGAGTAGATGTACGGGGCGTCCACACTGTGGAATGCAGTGTAGCTGTTAAAAAGAGGATGATGTGGGGCGCCTGGGTGGCTCAGTTGGTTAAGCGACTGCCTTCGGCTCAGGTCATGATCCTGGAGTCCCGGGATTGAGTCCCACATCGGGCTCCCTGCTCAGCGGGGAGTCTGCTTCTCCCTCTGACCCTCCCCCCCTCATGTGCTCTCTCTCTCTCATTCTCTCTCAAATAAATAAATAAAATCTTTAAAAAAAAATAAGGATAGATGGAGCCAGATTGAAAAAAATGCGTTAAAAAAAAAAAAGAGGATGATGTAAGTCTATATATACTGAGATGGCAAGATCCCCTGGACATTGGAAAGTGAAATATAGCAAGACGTGTTTATAGAGTACAATGCCATTTGGGGGAATTACTTTTCACTTGTCTGTCTGGGAGAAAGACTGGGTAGATGCCATGCTGTTTATAGTGACTTCTGGAGGCCTTCCACTTTCTAGTTTATTCAGAAATGTTTGCTTTTTTTTTTTTTCCCCAATGGTGTGTCTGTATTAATTACTTTTGAAATTAAAAAGAAGAAAAAACTTGGGTTCCTGGGTGGCTCAGTTGGTTAAGCGACTGCCTTCGGCTCAGGTCATGATTCTGGAGTCCTGGGATCGAGTCCCACATCGGGCTCCCTGCTCGGCGGGGAGTCTGCTCCCTCTGGCCCTCCCCCCCTCATGCTTTTTCTCTCATTCTCTCTCTCTCAAATAAATAAATAAAATCTTAAAAAAAAAAAAAAAGAAGAAGAAGAAAAAACCTAAAAGAAGCCCCAGCCTCGAGCAGGGATTGGCAAACTATTGTCTGTGGGCCAAATCTAGCCCACAGGCTGTTTTTGTACAGCTGAGAATGGTTTTTCATTTTTAAAGGGGTGTAAAAGCAATACACAGAGAGAGACGACAATGCACCTGAGTCCGTGTGGCCCCTGATGCCTAAAACATGACTCTGGCCCTTTATGGGAAGAGTTTGCTGATCCCTGGCATGGAGGAAAGGGGAAGGTGGTTGTGAATAAGAATTCTAGAGCCTGAACTCTCTGGCTCTGACAGGGAGGGTCTCTGCTTCCTCCCCACACACCTCACTTCCTTTTCCTGCAGGAGTTGAGTTTGACATTGACCTGCCCAACAAGAAGGTTTGCATCAACTCTGAGCACAGCGTGGACATTCTGCTGGAGACCCTGGAGAAAACAGGAAAGGCTGTTTCCTACCTTGGCCCCAAGTAGCGAGGGCCCGGACCCCTGGGCCCAAGATGGACCAAAGGGAGCAGGTGGGTAAAGCCCCAGCCCTTGTACAAAATACTTCATTATCTAATGCAAATCCCACATTCCGGGAATCCTTACAGCCCCCTGAGAGTACACAGAGCACTGTTATGTCTCCCACGGTCCCTTTTATGATTTGGGGAGTGCATCTCGTGATCAGCAGGGGTTAAGTATAGAGCGTAGAGCCTGGGCAATGCTTTGATAAACTGTCCCATCCAAGAGGACCCTATGCCCTGGGCATCATGCTTCTGTGCCCTGACCAGGTAAGTTAATTCAACTTGGCGCTTCTCTCCCCACTCGGAAGTGCTGTCCGCTTCCTGAGCATGCTCTGTGCCCCGATTGGTACAAAAGCAATCCTCATGTCCAAGCTGGATGTCCCCTTTAAATGTCCACAATCCAGAGAGGCACGTAAGTGTGGCACTGTGCTGAACCATTCGCTGTGGAACCAGGACAGACCTCACTGACTGATCCAGCGCTCCTTCCCTCTGTACCCTGCTCCAGAATCCTTCACGGCACAGAATCCTTCCCTTCCTGGCTGTCATTGCCCTTGTCATGCTTGAATTATAGTGACTGCCACATCCCTGCTGTGGATCAGGGCTCAGTGCCACTGAGAAACATGAGGCCTGGAGAGGGGAGGTGGCTTAACCCAAGCCCCACACAGGCGAGTAGCAGAGGCAAGATGAAAGGCATCCTGAATGGGAGTTCTGTTGTGGCCGATGGCCTTGTCCCTGTGTGTGGGCCCACAAGAGCTCCCCAGGCAGAGGCCAGCTACGGCTGACAGGTGGGCTGTGGCTATGTCCTGTGTAGGGGGTGACATCACATGCAAATCATGTCAGATGCATCTGTTTTCCTCATTCCCTTTCTGTCCACGGACACAGCCCACGGTCAGGAATGAGCCCAGGATGAATAATGATGTCCTCATTTCACACTGTGACTTTGAATACTTCTTACATTCTGGAGACTCAGGCCTTTCATTTCTAAAATGGGGCCACAACCTCTATCCTGTTTTCCTGCCGTTGGTGGGGGGAGGTTACTAGGAAATCCCTCTGAAAATGAAGGATGATCCTCAAAGAGAAGATATGTTTCCACCATGCTATGGATCAGTGTTGGTCACATGGTTCCTGAACCCTGAGGAGTTTTGGAGGAGAATGATGGGTGGCACTCTGGGCCCCTCCATCTATCCCTGGTTGCCCTGTTTCGTACGGGGCCTCCGTGTCAGTTTATAAGATTGTGGTTGATAAAAGTGCTCCGACAAGACAGGATGGAAGGAGGGAAGAGCCAGAACTTCCTGAGTAGGCGAACCACATGGGGGAGCCCCAACATAGACCCCTCACTTTGGAGATTCCTGGCCCGAGCATTTGAATCTTGTTCAACTCCTGCCAGTTGTAAACCATGGGTAACTTGATGTGTGTTCTTCTCATAGTAGTTTTTAAATTTATTGAGGTGAAATTCACATAACACAATTAAAGTGTACCATTTAGTGGATTCACTGCATTCACAATGTTGTGCAACTCTGGTTTCAAAGCTTTTATCACCCCAGAAAAACGCCCCAAACCCATTAAGTGATCACTCTCCACTGCCCCGTCTCCCAGCCCCTGGGAGCCGCTAATCTGCATTTGGCCTTTCGATTTGCCTCTTCTGGATGGTTCATTTAAAAGGAACCATACAATTCCACTTAGCATAATGTTTTCAGGATTCATCCAGCTGTACCACGGATCAGCACTTTATTCCTTTCTATGGCTGAGGAATTCTCATAGTTTTTAATTAATTTATCTTAGCTTTTTTTTATTATGGAAGTTTTAAACATATAAGTAGTAAAATGAATCCCTGTGTACCCATTACCCAGATCCACTGATAAGTCATTGCCATCATTGTTCTTTTTCATCTGTGCCCATTATTTTGAAGCAAATTTTGATACCAGCTAATTTTATCTGGGCAAGCATGTCAGCAAGCAACGTGTAGTATGAAAAGGCTTCTGCAGACTCAGATGCACAGCACTTGGTGATTCTTACCTATCAAGCAAGCTCCCCCCCCCCGCCACATCCCTGCAGCATCTCTCTCTGTCTGTTTTAAGATGCTCCCCAGTGACGCATTTGAAGCCAGGTTTGGGACTCAGAGAGTGTTTCTGGGTCATAAAGTCACCTCAACTGTCTGTTCATCAGCAGATTTGTTTGCTGGTGATTTTGTTCATTGTCTTCCCAGTGTGAATTGAAATAGGACAGGGAGAACCTACCATCCCAGCAGCCCCGGAGGTTCCCCAGGAGAAGGCGTTGGCGGAGTTTGGCTTTGGCGGAGATTGGCTTTGGCGAGATTAATGGTTTCCAGCCAACCCGACTATTACAGACTTGGTGGGAGGGGCATGCAGGGCTGAATCCTGCGGTGCTCGTTCTGCTCCAGCACCTGGGTTTCCCACTTAACCTCCCACAACTGGCCCTTAGTGAACCTCTGCTGCTTTTGCAATGCCTTCATGCGCACAGCAGATGGTGCTTTCCTTCCACCTAACTTCTCGTCTCTTCCAGGACACTGATCTCCTGCCTTCCCGACAGACCAGGGGCCTGGCAGTCCTGCTCAGCGATGGTAGTGACCCTCACTTGCCCTGCTTCTCCCTAGCTTCCCTGCAATAAAGTTGAGCCGCTTTTGTTGGAGGTGTTGTCTCTTGCAGTGTCTGGATATTACTTGCTCACATGCTCTGAAGGAGTAATTACAGTGCTTACTGGGGTTGGAGTTCTAAGGGCTCCCCACTGGGAGCACCAGGCCTGACAGACTGTGATTCTTTGCTCTGTGATCTTCGGCAAGTTATTTCCCCTCTCTGCACCTCACTTTTCCCATCTACAGAGTGAAGATGTTGGGCCAGATGGGTGATCCCCTTTGTTTTCAATATTTTGAAAGACTCCTGTCATCAGGTGCATTGCATTGAAGGGATGTTAAATCTTACAGCAGTTAGAAAAGTGGGTAGAGGCTTGTAGACAGACTGCCTGGGATAGAGTCCATGCTCCAGTACCTCCCAGCTGGGCCACTTAATTTCTCGGTGTGTACAGGCATAAAATGTAGTAATAGCATCTACTACAGATGGCGGCCGTGTGGATTAGAGGTGATATGTGTAAATCGCTTCAAGTGGTGCTTACCAGTTAGACAGTAAACATTCTTTATTCACTCATTTGTGTGTATTCCATTAATCATAAGTCTATAGAAATGGCAGTTAGGATTCCAGTCAGCCTAAAAATTAGTGTCTCACAGAGTTCATTCAGTTATGTCAAAACAAAGGGAATGTTTTACTGTGTGTAGCTTTATTTTATTAACTATATATTTTTTTAAACCAGAAGTTCTCAAACTTTTATTGTCTTAGGACCCTCTTACACTCTTAAAGATTATTATTGTGTATCTCAAAGAGCTTTTGCTTATGTAGGTTATGCCTTATTAGAAATTAAATTTTTGAAATGCAAAAATACACGAGCCCATATCCCATTAACCATTGGGACTAGATGAAGCCATTGCACATCTTTAGATTCTGGAAAATTTCACTGTATGATTGTAAGTGAAAGGAAAAGGCATCTCATGAAAATCATTTTTACCCCCTTTACCTTCTGAAAGGGTTTTGGGTACCCCACGTTGAGAATCGCTTTAGCCATTTATGGGGCACTGATGGGGGACCAGCACTGCTGGGCTCGGATGCGACCCAGCTCTGCAGCTGCGACCCAGCTGTGACCTTAGATCCGTCCCCTCATGTCCCCAGAAGGAGTTTCCTCCTCTGCATGTGGATAATGCCTGCACCTCAGGGAGCTTGGTGGCCAGAAATAAGACTTTGTTTCAACTCTAAGCTGTGTGCTAGCATTAATTTTGGTCCCCTTATGAGATTATGAACTCTCAACCATTTCTGCTTTTGTGGTCCTCAGCACAGGGACGCTCCCAACCCTCATGGTAGCTGGCTTTCTTGGCCACCAGATGGCAGTGTCCTTTGGGTTGGACCATCAGGAGAAGTTTAAGACCGGTCCCGTGAGTTCTGGGTGGATGAACCTGAGGGTTTTTCCATTTTTGGAGCCTCCCAGGAGACCTGGTTCAGGCTGGCTGGCCCATTGAGAACGCCCCAGGATTGAGGCACTGGCGCCGCTTGGGACGAGTGGGCCTGGGAGGAGTTCTTCCCCAGCCCCCCGCCCCCCATCCGTGTTTCCAGCTGAGGACCTTGGTTCTGTTCCTTGAGGCTCCAGAGGGGCTGGGAAGCTGTCCCACCTGTCAGCAGCGCAGTTGGCCGCCCACAGAGTGAGATCAGCCAGCAGAGTGCGGGCTTCTGTGGGGGTGGGAGTGGGGAGCCGATGTGTCCACGTACTGCTCAGGGCCTCCTCCAACGCCTGACCCAGCCCTCGCTGCAGCCAAACCGCTCCCGGGTCCCCTAGGTATCGGGCTTTGGGTCGTGCTGCCCCCCTGTAACTGGAATGTTCTCCGCCTACCTCCCCACCACCACCCTGTCTCCATGTAGAAATTCCTTTCCCTCCCTTACATACCACAGCTTCCATGAAACCTCTCCACAACTGGAAGTAATTTATTTCTTCTCCTGACCCTCACAGCATTGATCCCACAGCTTCAGGGTTGGGACAAAGCTCTTTGTCCCCATGTCTTTCCTGTCCTCCAGCATCAGGCCAAGCATAGAACAGGCACCGAGGGAATATTTGATGGCTGTGTAATAGGTACCGTTTGGAGGGTGTTCATTGTGTGTCGTGCCCTTACGTTAATGTCATTCCATCCTATCTGGTCCCCATGAGACAGTGGGCGAGGACAGACCCTGGTGCATGGTAGGTGTGCAGTAGATGTTTGTTGGGTTAATCTTTCAGAGGAGGAGATTGCCTGGTCTAATCCTTTCAGCAGGCTTATATTTTTGTCAAAGATCCCTGGTGGTGAGTACAGCAGCCTAGAGTGACCTCTGGGGTGGTCCCAGTAACTGTCATTGTCATTGTTTCTGGGACTGATGGGGTAAAGCTCCCAGCCACTTTGCCTCTGTCAACCATCCATCCTG